CATCCATTTTCGCGTTCACTCGCTAATTTGCAATTCATGGGAATGATTAGGACGAAATGCACCGGAAAACATTGAAATAGTTTTAATTTGGAACATATCTTTGGAAACGGAGGGGACGGGATGATTTTCTAATACATGACCCTATAATATGCATATGTGATACAACCATATACAGTGGTATTTCTAAAGTACAAATGTATTTGAGTGTCAGCACATGTGATTGAATTCTGCAGAACTGTTTCCAAAATCAAAAGACTAACAATTCTCTCTAACCCGATTCGGGTTTGAATCCACCAACCCTACTACTCGATTGGAGTAACCTGGAATCATCGCGAACGTTTTCGGGGACTTAATTTCATACTAACTTATTTGGAATGACACCTGTTAGCCTAAACTGTTTTTAAACTAATTAATTGGCACAATTGTTAGGGTACATACAAGGAAATGTGGCTTTTGCAGTCTAGAATATTGTCTTTAAACTGATCAATTAATTAATTCTTGGTTGTTTCGTACGAGTTTCTCTCACTGCAAATTTTAGCGCACATTCAAGGGTCCTAGAGTCCACGAGTTGGTGTAATATCTGTAAACATAAATAAATTATTCGCCACTGTATCGCTTGTTTTTTCTGTGGTTAGAGAGTCCAATCATTCAGGTCTATAAAAATAAACTTAAGGTATCATTTAGGCACTGGCCTTGTGGTGACTTTTGTTAATCTATAAAATTCTTTTCCAAAGGTAACTTACACACAATATAGGCTACCAATTTGTTCAACAGTTTAGTCGTGTAGCGATATGTCATGCTAATACCAATGAACCACACCATAATACCATAAGCAGAGACACAGCATTGATTTTTAAGTGTAAAATAGCATAGGGGTAATCAAAATGTGAAAATTTTGAACATTATTGGTTATTTGATAAGATATTTTGCAGCTCATCCCAAGGGGGTAGCATGAATGGTTTTCAAAATGAGGTCGTTTGTCCCCAGTCCGCCCATGGGGAAGAATTGACTTTTATTTATTTACAATGTGGCATGGACCCTTTAACACCTACCAAGATTTTGGCTTCCACGACTGCGAGGCCAACTGCACTGAATAAAACTCTTACAGCACTCACAGCGTTATTGAAACGGCACTATAAGCCTGGAGGATTTGGTTTCCAACCTTCTTCCCACGGGTAAACTAGTGGAAACCAGTTCAAGTGTTAAGTCATCCTCCTAGGTGACATGATGGTGTTTAAAATAACAGCGGACTGATTTTCTCTTACAGGTATTATGAGTCTAATGTACAAGTCTTTACAATGTTTGACAGCAACTCTCACATCATGTTTCGGTTGTATTGCAAAAAAAGATGGAAGGGGCTCAGATTTAAACTTGAGCAAACCCAGACTCCGACGACTGAACAGAAAATAACGCGTTGTGTAGCAGAATACTGATAGCTTGGGTGCATCCGTGTTGGTTGCCTTCTAACAACGCGTGACATGTTACAGGTAGGCCATACGTAACTTACTCACGGTCCAGCTCAGGTATATCCGTGCTTGTGGAGCTTAACTTTTCAGTGTGCATTCATATATTCATGCACATATGCACACCATACAGCGACTTGTGGTTTCTAGACCGACACACTTAAATTTAAACCAATGGTAGAGATGGGTAATCAGGTTGGGATACTACTTTCTTGGATGGGACAAATCTGACATTTTTTTGCATTGTTTCATGTTTGGGTAAGTTACCCTTGCCTTACACACAAAAATGCAACTTATCTGAGTTTTGGCGGACAGGGAGGCACTGAGGCTTTGCCAAACTTATTGTGAACAAGTATGTAGCTGTGTCTACTGATTTTTGTCTTAATCTAAATTAGTCCGGATTCAGCTGGATATATCCATGACGATTCCATCATTACAAGATGCGTTTTTGTCCGATGTGTGTTTTATCCAGATGGGGCTGATGATCATTACGTTAAGATTTTGTTGCATTTATGTGTTCCTTCTGGTTCCTGGGTAGTGTCATTCAGTCACTAAAGGTAATTGTAATGATGGGCTAACGTTGCTATCGAGATGGATTCTTATATATTTACCGGAAAATGTAGTCTATGTTGATGAGCAAATTGGTGTTTGAAAAAGCGGTATTCATGTCCGACGAACACATTGAAAGCTTGTCTACAAAGATAATAATATTCAGATACTGTTATTTGTTATTGGCTTCCATGTAAAGGGGTCACCAAGCAGCCCACCCATAGAGATTCACGACAAATGCTGATGGAAAAGGCTGAACAGCTTCCCGCTATTTCCTTACATAGGTTCTGACGCTCTGGCCTAGTAATAAAACAGAAGAGTCCGAGAAGTTTTGAACACTGCTAACAATAATATCACCAATAATAATAACAATGGCAATAACAATGTTTTACGTCATGATTTACTACCCGGGAGCATTAGATTTCGTGAGGCCCCAAAAATGTCCGGCTTCTGCTTCATTGGAATTGAACGGTAGTAGTGTACGTTCTGCCTCACAGAGCCTTGGGCTGATCAAGTTATTCATGTCGGCATTTTCACAATGCTAGTTGCCACATCTAGACCTGATTTTTAGTGGCCAAGTTTATTCATCGGCCACAATAGTGTATCACCATGATTTCTCACCTTTAAACCCAGGAAATATTATTTGAATTACTTTAGGTATCCAGTGAACAGAGACAAGTCAGAAATATGGGTCTGCTGAAACCTGCCAAAGTTACCACCTCTGGGCAAATGAATGCACACCTGAATGATAACAGGTGTCTGCTACCTCCGCAAAGGACCCACTATTTATGTTTGTTTCTATTAAAGACTCTCTACCCTCAGGTATCTGTGCACGTATTGCCACCGGATACTGTGCTAATTAATAAACCAGCAGATAAGTACGACAGACGTATTTGAAGAGATGTTGCTCAAATTAACTTTGTTCAAGATTGTACGATTGCAACCGATGGTGAGATCCGATAAATTCTGGTGCGGGATTATGCACTACTGGGTGCTGCAATCGAAGTACAATCTAATCACTCCCACTGGAAGGCAAAAGGCACAATTCCTCGTTAGTGACGGGCTTTCAAACAGTTGTTTTACGGTCTTGTGTAGTGACGAATGAGAAAGGGACTTTAACAGTGGCACAATTTGGAGAACGAATGATGCCAAATCAGTAATACGATTTAAGGGGAGGTGATGCAAACTGAGTTTTGTTATTCACTATAAAATAACCATGAGTGCGCAAACAACAGTCCAAGGCGATTGGTGACGACAACTTCCTTAAAATTCAGAGATTAGTTTAGTAACTCTTCGATGGAAACAGTCACTGTAACCCGACTAACGGCACTTTATGCCGAGTAGGAAATTGTCACCCTGATGAAGAGTAGGAAGCAAATGTATATTTTCTCAAGCAAGGGAAACTCATTTTGAGGAAATTCTTTCATCCAGGAGAAAAAGTGCTCGATTTTCAACTCATAGGATCTGGCACCGAATTGTTGGAGCACTTATAACCTCACAGTTAGATTTACTGAAGTGCACAAACACAAAGAGTAACATAAAATTGATTTTTCAGACCATGATTGAAATATCAGTGGTGCTCAATTTCATGTAGTCTCCCCAGGGTTGCATATGATTTCTACTTAAATTTACTCACTGCACCATGAATGCTAGATGGATGGAATAAAAGGTCAGCAATTCTATTGCTAATTAAACGCAGCAGCTCCATATTATTAGTAGTTAAGGGGGAGAAATATGGACGCCCTTTATTTTGAATGGAAACACTACACGCAGAGAATGGCACACAGAGTGCATTGGCCAGTTATTATCCTGTGAAAAGTTTCCTCCCTAAATAGACCACTCCCAAGAGAAGACAAATTTCAGAAGAAATCACTTTTGATTTTAGCGAATATACACTCATTTGCAAACTAATTTGGTTTCTCGAGAGACTCACCAGGAACCCAACTGAATCTCTTGTTTGTGGTGTTCTCGCTTCTGTAACTCCTTCAAAGAGTTGCTTTATGTAAAAAACTACAGTGAGGCAGTATTTTTGCAGACAGATTAGCGCTTCTGATTCCCTATGATTACAATGCCTTTTTATCCTTCTGGCAGATCGATAAATTATGTTTCAAAATGTTTCAAAGTGACTTGAACACATTGCTTGGTCCTAACAGTAACAGTTAAAAATTTTCAGATTACGTGAGTCTCTCTTAGAGGAAAAGCCCTATGATTGGAAAATCATAAAATATTTTCCCATTACAGTCTCTCTTTCAGTACACAAGCCCTAATGCAGATCTTGTGGGGAGTTGTGATTTTTTCTAACGCCATACCTACTGGCGGATGACCAGCAGGCTGTTGATCTGCTCACGGAGCGTGGCAATCAGCTCAACAATCAAGGAGACACCATAAATTCACGCAAAGGTGATGTTCCTCCGATTGGTGGCATGCTAATAGCCAAACTTGGCAAGCGAATAAACAGCCATCTGATCCAAACTGCAAAAATTCCCAAGTGATTCAATTCACACCAGATTAAAATAATGTATCATTTTTGGTTGATTCAAACTGAACAACAAATTTCACCGTACATTCACGAAAGCTGTGGATAAGAATGCAAATACAAATGCAATTTCACTATTCCAATACATGATATTTTTCTCTTATCTAATACATATCTACGAAAACATTCCCTGTCAAAAAGTTCCTCAGAAACCGTAAAAGCGTCCCCTCGAAGAAGCACTGTATTCCTGATTTTCCAAAAAAGATAAATCTTGAGGCTGTGCAAAGGTTCTCCATTTTGCTGTTTATTATTTGACGTGTAATTGAATACTCTCGCGCTTTCCGTGCTTACCATATTCCACTATTCTGTGACATTTTCACTTCACTTGCCGTTAGATAAATATGTAAGCTCACTTCTGACCAACTGTTTGATGTATATATGCTCTCCTTTTCAGCGGGAAGTTGCTACTGAATTTTATCATGTTGACACTACAGGCATAGCCATTTTGTACCATGGATATTCAGAATCCCGGTGACCTACTCAAAGAAGCTACAGACCTAGCAAAAGATCTGGGCCCCGAACAGGCCTACCAGCTGCTGACCGCCTACATGGACAAGCCTGATTTTCGGATAGCCCCTGTGTACGCCTTCGCTGCTAACCTATGTGACAGTCTTGGTCAGTGACCTTTACAACCTCACCCCCTATTTCACAGCCAAAGTATTTGCAGTAATTGACAAAGAACAATATGAGCATTACATAACAAAAGGATATCGCTACTCAAAGGCTGGTATGTTATTGGACGACACACATCCAGGCTGTGCCAAAGTAAACATTCGCTGACATCGCACAAACTGAGTTCATGATTCGACTTTAGTATTACGCCACATTTTTGCATGCCAGAGCTGACTACATGGGCCAGTTTCAGTGGATAAAAGATGCATTCAAAATCAAAACAGCCTGGCAGGTTGGATGACCCTCAGTAGAAAAACAAACCTCTTTATTTTGGAACAGAAGGCGCTCGAACTAAACCCAGGAGATGGAATTATTTTCCGGAGCTTGGGGATATGGTAGGTAATAGATCACTTTTTTTTACTGCGCCGCACACTTTAGGCACTATACGGTTGCCAACTGGTCCTGGATGCAAAGAAAAGTTGCTTGTGCAATGTATGCTAATCCACCAACGTCTTCTATCCCCGAAGTATGCTCCAGCATTTTTGTTTGTGCCCAACGTTGTAGGCCCTTAGGTACTTTTTAGATGCTGAAGGCAGTAGGTTGCTTTATTCTGAAAGAAAACTTGCTCCGCAGAAATGGGACGAGCATCTGCTGTCAACTTACTTGACATTGCTCGATGTTATGCCACAATGAAGAAGGGTGCTCAGGCTAAAAAGTACTTGGACGAATGCCTCGCATCTATCGACGAAGGACGTGAAATAGAACAGGTAGTCTGATACTTCCACTTATTGTTTGGACATCCGCAGGCAAAACAAGCAGCTGTTGCGCTCTATCAGGAGTTGGAGATGGCAAAATGGTTTTAATCATATGCCGCGAAATATCATTTATTTTTCAAAAGTATTTTTCAATGAATTTTAGTTACGCGCGTACCTGGTAGAAACTTCAAACTGATAAGCTTGCACAACATTTCAGTGTCACCACCAAACGGGGAGGAAAGTGTCTGAGGATTTTATGGTTATTACTCAAGTTTGTGCCTGCTAGTTTTTCAAAATCCGGTGTAAATTTAGTAGTCAACCAATCAAAGTTTTTGGAACATGTTGGATAGGACGTGTTGGACATCCAAAAACTGTTTATCATTCTCGTGGAACAATTACCAAACTTTCGGTGCTCCAGAGTTGAATGTCGGGTGTACAGAATCGTTCAAAATTCACAGGGTGTTTGAATCTTGCTGAATGGTTGATTTGGTCTCAGTGAAAATGTTTTCATACATGCATGTCAGTAAATGACATCCATTCTGAATGGTATTGGAATTAATACTACATCGTTAATTGAACAGAAGAGTTAGGTGAGAAACTTGATTGAGATCTCCCAAGAAACGACAACACAACGGAACATAGTAGAACTAAAGAATCTGTTGTGATAAGCGCCATTATAACAAGTGTCCAAAAGTTATTCCAAGACTAACTGCATCGCTAATGGCACACCTGCTGAGATACATGTTGCCGATATTCAAATGTGAACACTAGTGAGGGTGATCAGTCATACCTAACAGTCTTCTTTGGATAGTGTCTCCTTCCGCACTCCTGTTTCCTTCATTTTCCCCTGATCTACCTATTTAACGGGGCATATGACGATGGCATTGATTTGCTTAACCGTTGTTTATAAGTACAAGTGAGAATTAGGACAGCCGACTGTTTGAGAGATTTCGCAGCGTTAATGAACCAACGCCTATGATTTCCTATATGGCGATGGCTCACATGCTGCTTGTCATTTGCAACTGGTGACATCCCGATAACAGGGAGCAAGCTTGCATGTTTACCTCTTTTGGTTTTATAGTCCTGCGCATCCATGTGGTTTAATTGACACAAGCAGAATTGTCGCGTTTTCCTCTGGTTTCTTATGAGCTGAGACGAGTTACGGTACAATCCTATCGTACTACGCTTAAATCAAACCTTTAGTATGTGTCACTTTTGTTGTTCTATCGTGCTAAATGGGACACACTTACGGGGCCAAGATTACTTATTTGTATTTCCATTAAAGAAGACTCTCCTAATTACCGAAAATGATTGGTTCAGAATTATTTGTGTTTCGAATCCACCCAACTCACCTGGTTTTCTGATTATACAAAGGTTTAGGCTTTCAGTAGAAACGGCATACTTAGAATGTTGAAAAGCCTCTAGCTGAATTTAATGGTCACAGCGGCTAATCAAGTTATTATTAAGAGATCCGAACTCAGCTGAGTTTCGTGATAATCAGTATGTTGAGTGATTGGAAACAAGTTTAGTTTAGCAGCAAATACACTGGCAACAATGCACTTTAACAGCACTACCTATAAAATAAAATATACCGCAAGTTTACACGTTTGAAGTTAGCTCATTCTTAGCTGCCGGGCTTTCGCGGTCCGTGAAAAACAGTGAAATGTTTGGCCCGACAGGTTTCCATTCTGATTATGCATTGCCGCAACGGTGTTTACATAGTCCCCTACTGATAAACAGCGTCTGATGACGTAATCACTAAATAACGGGGCATTTCATTATTATACGGTCATCAACAGCCGGAATTGATTAAAGGAGATTTCACACGATGGGCTGTTAAGTTATTTTTCGGTGCACCATGTCTTTCCTCGCAAGAATATTACAACTTCTGTGCTCATGGTACTGAAAACTTTATGAACACAGAAAAAAACGCTGTACTATTTTTTGTGTTACGTTACATTTCGTAGTAAATAAATGTTATTTATGACACCAATTATTTTATAAAATCTCTAAAAATATTCAAAGGATGAGCTAAACATTCGTGTCGTTACATTTATTTCACGTATGCTTACAAACATTAGGATACGCAACAAGTGTGATGCGACCTCCCGGGAACAGCTGAAAGAAGCTGACACGCATAAGAATACAAAAGAAAAAATACATCCATCTTAAACCTATAGACTATTTACAACTACCTTCGGCGTTGAGTGTGAAGCATGCCAATCTACCAGCTTCGAAGAACTGCCATAGTTCAGCAGCATCGATCTGAGCTAGCCCGAAAACTCTTCACATTAAACCAATACTGAACATGTAGATGAAGTGTGGCAAAATGTGAAAGGAGCTATACTAGCGGCGTTCAGTGCTGCCTGCCCGACTTCTCCAGTTCGACCACAAGACCACTAAGTGTCGTCGAGGTCGCTATCCATGATTGGTGTCAAGAAAGCCAAACCAGCAGGCAGTGAGTACGACGGCGCACGCAAACCCCTCAAACGCCAAATAGTGAAGAGTCTAAGGAAAGACCGAGAGCTCTGGTGGATATCGAAAGCTCGGGAGATGGAGAAGGCCTTTGCTACAGGAAACATTTGTGCCCTTTATCAAATGATACGATCGACTGGCCCTAGGAAAGCAACGGTCAGCAGAACAATAAGTGAAAAAGATGGCTCGATAATTCACTCGCATAAACATCGACTGGAGAGATGGACCGAACACGTCGAAGAACGGTTCAGCCGGCCTCCTGCAACACAGGCCGTGGATATAATGCATACGGGCGAATGGAATGTAAACCTGTATCGCCCTTCGGAGGTAGAGATAAAATACAAAACAGCGGTTCTGAAACGCGAGAAGGCACCAGGACCGGACGGTCTGTATCTAGCCCTCCCCAAAGAAGTCGGAAAATCCCTAGTGACCCATCTGACAAAGCTTATTGGTGCTATATGGGACGAAGAGAAAGTGCCTTCAGAATGAAGCATGTCGACAATTATCCATATCTTCAAAAAGGGTACGCGCGCGCTATGTGAAAACTACCGTGGCATCAGCCTGCTAGCCGTGGCATCGAAGGTGCTCTCTGGCCTTATCCTCCGAAGGCTGACTGAACACAGAAAGAGGCTGATCCGTGGAAATCAAGCTGGCTTCCGTATTGCAAGTGGTTGCATCGGTTATATCTTCACCCTCCGACAAATTCTGGAACAGCTACGCTACTTATAGCAACGAAGACCGGTTGTGTTTATGCCCTTGACATTGTGGGCCGCCAAACACTATTGTAATGTCTGTGAAGCAAAGGTGTCCCCAATAAATTCTTGAACCTCATTAAGGCGCTGTACGCCAACTCCCGCTGTCGTGTAAAGGTCTACGGGAAGCTTTCTCCTGAGTTCACCACATCCAGTGGTGTCCGACAGGGCTGCCTTCTTTCACTTTTCCTCTTCAACTTCGTCATTGACACGATCATGGAAGACCCACTACCAGCCTCTAATACCTGCTGGGTCAAAGTGCTCCCTGGGCCTCCGCTCACAGACATCGAGTATGCGGACGACATAGCCCTTCTCGGATCTGACCCCATGGTAATGCAAACAATATTAAATAATCCAAGTAATTCTGCTTCGCGGTTCGGCATGCGCTGCACACCTGCAGAGTGTAAAGTGCTACTGAAAAACTGGGTGGACTCGACCCTCAGCCTCATGCTTGCGGACGAACCGATTGAATTAGTTTACAAATTTGCTTAACTGGGCAGCTGTATCAGTCTCAGTTATCTCGCGTAAGAAAATGTTTCAATCCGGATTGGGAAGACCAGAGCAGCTTTTGTGAACCTGCGTTAGCTGTGGCGTAGGCGTGACATCAGCTCCTCTGTCAAGGGTCGAGTTCACAATGCTGAGGTGCGCTCCATATTACTCTATGAATCAGAAACCTGGCCACTGCGAGCTGAGGACATCAAAAGGCTTCCAATGTTTGACTGTTGATATCTTCGGAGCATTGCCCGAATCTGGTTGAAACACCGGATCAGCAGTTCTGAAGTACGTCGAATGGTATTCAGGGGGAATAACTCACTACCGATAGATGAACTGATCGCACTGCATAGGTTACGCTGGCTTGGCCACGTATCGCGTATGCCAGTCGACCGACTTCCTCGAAGGACTCTTTTCGCTCAACCATGTGAAGGGTGGAAGAGAGCCAGAGGCGGTCAAACAATGACTTGGCAGCGAAGTATGAAAGCCATTACCAGCAAACTCAGCTGCGCTGGTCACTGCCGTCTTCCTGGATGGGGACCCCGAGACGGGCCATATCAATGGCTGGAGATATTATCAGACGTGGCCCAGTTGCGCCCTCAATGGCGCTCGTGCATCAAAGCTATTGCCTTCAGTACATATCTCCTATTCCAACACCCCCACTTGACGGCCCACTGACAGTGGTGGATTTATGCACCAATTTATCATCCCCCGCCTGCAATGCGCAGCTACCTATCCCCCCAAATCATCGGTGAACAAAACTACGGAACTGTGGCAGCTACAGCCACTGTACGACGAGTGCGCGGTTGTCAAACTTGACAATGATAATGATGATGACGGTGATGATGACGATGATGATGAAGATGCAGGCCCACGCTCTCCTTCAGGGAAATTAGAACACTGTCACGCCATGAGTGCTCAAAAACCTGAAATGAGTTCTATTCATGAAAACAGGAAGATCAATAAATCATCCATGCCAGCCACCTGTGTCAGCTGTTAACCGACTTTAAGTGTCTCAGGAACAAAAAAACAGCTTTTGTGTGGGACTCTTGCATGCTTAACCCCGATTGCAAAGTGGCTCAGGCTCAACGGCCAGCAGACGCAAGGACATGTGTATGAGAACAATTAGTATTTACCATAGAAAGCGTCGGAGTCTTAACACAGGGACCATATGTTTGCAGACAAGATTAGCTAACTTGTTTAGATAGTCGGCCCTTCAAGAGGAAGCTCTCCAACTCTCCTCCACCAGGTGACTCAACTCGAATTCCTAGACAAGACTATGTGGCAGGATCGGACATGGTATGGAATTCCGCAATGACCAAATTACATCTGGCGAAACACTTCTAAGACATACAATATTAATAATCTGGACAGAATCTCACACCATATGCGAGTAAATGAACAGGATCAGTTTTTTAGCAACCGACTGCAGTGCATGCCAGCGTATGAACTTTCTTGTCTTACACCACCACCATCACTTACACGCCCATTTTTACTACTAGCTTTTCACCTCGAAAGTGATTCCGTCAAGCTTTCAAGCACGGAGGTGCTCCAACGCTCCTCCTACGAACGCCAGGTCTGACCATAAGCGTTTCAACCACAAAATCGTCAAAACATGGTGCTTTTATTAAAATTTTCATACTATCTGTGGATGTTTTCAACAAAATACGTGCTGCGATTCTTTTGGTACAGTCTGACGACAGTGGCTTTTTTTACTGCAACAATTGCATTACGGTTGATAAATCTACTTTTGTGCTTGGGTACTCGAATGTCAGATTGGAAGCGCTGTTCTGCGGACGAAGTGGACCATAAGTAAATGGCTTCTCGCTGGGTGCAAAATGCATCTGAAGAAGTTTCTAAAAATGTTCAAAAATAACCGAGACCTCACCGAAAGTTTAGAGATGCAGCTAAACGGCCAGTGGTTTTAGTTCACTCATATACCGCCCCGACTGTTCCAGCTCTGATTTATGGGAGAATTGGGGAATTGATCCAAACCATCACAGAGCTAGGCTAGATGAAACGAATGCAAAAGCAAGTGTATGATTTTAACTAACTAGTGTGGTATAAGCACAGGAGCAGATTTTTAGGCCGCTGCCTCAGACACATCCATTAAGATACCAACATAGTGCTATGAAATAAAGGAATAGTCGGTAAAAGTGGTAGAGACAGCCCACAGAGAAATAATGAACCATTCGTAATGATCAAGATGTGAAATACCTCGTAACATAACAGGTCCTAGGTACAAGAATGGACTGTCGGAACTCAGAAGACTTCCACGGCTCAAGGTCCATCACACCTCTGAGGGAAATCTGCGGTAAAGACCATTCGCTTATCCTCAGTGGCATCGTGAGATATGTTTCGGCATCCCAAAGTAATTCTAACTTTTTCCCAAGTTGTATAGCTCCGAATAAATTTAGAACCTTCACACCAATCCAAGGCAACTGTGAAACTAACTGCGGAGAACGTGATCAGTCATTGACAAGTCAGCTTCTACAATGGACTGAGAATTACATTCTTCCCCTACTGCTATCAGGTACAGAAATCCATGTTTTGTCGCACTGGAGCTGCTGGCTAGGAAATGATCGTTCTTGTGGCAATGCGCGCACCCTTATGTGTGCAGTATTCAAGGATGTAATATGCTGTGCACCTCGTCATTTGCTTTAGAATCGTCCTGACAAGACTGACATAAGGGACACGTAAATAATGAATTGTGGTGATGTAACAAACTCCGGAGTCTGTGCACCAGAGCATCGATCAACTTCGTCGAAAACAAACTGGTGAGCAACATTTGGTTTGTTGCCACCACAGTTTATACCAATAATGAAAAGGTGACCAACGAAAGTAGAGATTGCACGGCAACATATGGGTCACAGCTGAGTTGTGGTAGGCGAGTTGTTGTAGGCGCGCATTGAACCGACGTTTATTTGAATATCGACATTTGCTACTCTCTTATGGATTTCGCGGAGTCGCCAGGGCAAACCTGCTTTAAATCCACGCTGGATGTACCTCCCATCGGCTTTTCGTCGCATGCACCATCGACGAGGATTTTTCAAATCAGTGGGTTGATCACTTCTGAGGGCGGGAGAAATTCCCGTCATTTTGTCAAGCTAAACACTTAACATGATTAATGTAGGTTGAAACTTTGAGCCTTTTTAGTGAACAGCTATTAATATATTATGACACAGTTATAAATGCTTCCAAGAGGAAACTTTTGGCAAGTGATGTAAATGTAAGCAAAATATACATATTTATCCTTTGGAGAAGAGTTCTCTATTGCGATGGACAGCTTTGATGGCTGGAGCAAAGAAAGTTTCCAGGCATGCATCGATGAATGGATTTTGAGTTCTGAAAGGTGATGAGGGATGGCGAACCCGGCGATAGTAAACAGCGCTGTAATTTACGGTCCAGTGAAGCACCTAGGGCAAACAACCCGAGCATATCTGGTATCTGCCGCTTGGTTACTTATGAATCTTACCCGCATAAGTCCTACCATAGGCATTGTGGACACATTCATTTGTTGGGCAACGAAAATAGCCGGCCGTACTTTCATGTAAACGATTCTTATCTATCCTTAACGTGCAATACGA